TCTAAACTGAAAAATTCTTTTTTTTCCCCTGTGGTACAGGTGATTATTTAATTCACAGCCCAGGCTGACCTCAACTGGTCTTGGCCTCCTAAATAGCTAGGATTATAGATACATATAACCATGTCCAGTATGTTTTTCTTTTTAACTTATTAGACAAAATCAATTTGTTATAGAACTAGAAATCATGTTATTCTTCTCATATATAATTGCAATACTTTATATAAAATCAAACATGATTAGAAGAAAATAACATTTTAGAATATAAGTATGAGACTAGTTTGATGAGTGTTATATTTTATTTTAAATTTTTTTTGTCTTTTTGGGACCAGGGATTGAAATCTGGACCTAGTGCTTTTGAGGTAGGCGGTAGCATCACTGAGCTAAATCCCGCACCCTTGATGAATATTTTAATCGTGGATTATCACTGACATGAACCAGAGTGAATTATCAGCAACACACAAATTCATGTTAGTATTTATTAAAGTCAACTGTATTATAATTGACATTAACATCTTCATAAATTATGTAAGAGTACATTCAAATAGATATTCACGTTACTTTTAAATTACTTATATTTGGAATGTGAAATACAGAATTATAAAGTACAAAGAGGTCTTAGGGGTTTTATAACCTGTCTCTACTCACCGTAGGAACCCCTTCTGTGTCAGTCCCTGTGGATGCTTCCTGGACAGAAGTCTCACTAGCTTATGATGCTGTTTGCTACAAAAGGTGAGAAGTTTGATTTGGAGTTAAAGTACCCATTCTAGCTAGTTAAAGTGGTTGCATAAGGAACACCAGAGGAGAGTAGTAAAACACAGGGAAAGAATCCTGAAGAAGTTCCCTACTTGGCAGAGGCCCTACCCTGAGAAGTTTAAATACTGACCCGAAGAGGGAAATTTGAAAAGCCACAGACCCTATTGCTTCCTAAATCTCTGGCAACACAAGCAAGTGTCTGCCCTGGCTGCTTTCAAGAATGCAGGAAAAGTGCATAATAAAGTACAGAGGACTCCAGAACCTTGGTTTTCCATATGCTGTAGAATCAAGAACACACACAAGATCTTTAGATACTTTTATCTAGTTTCTGTTCGCTGAATACTTAAGAAATGTTCTCATGATTGTAGAAGCAGTTTGGTTCACTGATTAAGACGCTAGTGCTGCAGCCAGCCTATCTGGGTTCTAATTCTCCTCATTGAATTTCTTTCAGGGCCTCGGGAAGGTTTCCTACTTTCTCTGGGCCTTGCTTTCCTGATTTAACAAATGGAAATAAAATAATGCTTTATTGTGATAACTTAGTGTGATAATGTGATCTACTCAGTGTGAGTGGAAATGGCCTTTACTCAATAAATGTAGCTTTTAGTATAGGAGCTACACATTTTCCAAATTGCACCTTCTTATGTTAACAAGAAAGGATGTAAATATTGCTGTTATTGAGAAGTGGGGCCTCTTACTTGCATATGTAAAGTTATAGTGTAGCAGTGCATTGTAAAACAATCACAACAGAATGAATCCAGGGACAAGAGAGCTCTTTCTTCCACTGAGATGTGCATTTCCCCTAGTTCTTTAAATACTTCAGAGTAGGTCTTTACCGCACAATTAGAGGAAAAGAGTTTAAAAGTACATATGCAGCTGGGCATAGTGGGCACCTAAATAGCTTGTAATCCCAGCACACTGGGAGGAGGCAGAGGCAGGTGGATCACAAATTCAAACCCGGCCTGGGCAACTTAGTGACTTGGCAAAAATAAAAAAGGTTTGGGGATATAACTCAGTGCTGAGGCCCAGAGTTCAATCCCCAATAATGCAAAAACAAACAACCCTCTGTCTTAGTTACTTTTTTCATTGTTGAGATAAAATACCCAACACCCAATTTAAAGGAAAAAAGGTTTATTGTAGCTTAGTTTGTAGAGGTTTCAGTTCATAGTCAGCTAGCTCCAGGCAGAGTGGCATGGCAGAGAAGAAACAGTTCATGGTGGTCAGAAGGCAGCAAAGTCGCAAGCAGCAAGTGACTGCAGTAGCCCTCTTTTGTCCCTCGTAGTCTATCTAGACTATACATCCTTAGGGTGGGTAGCACTCACATCCAAGGTGGGCTTTTCCATTATGCATACTCAGAACTATGCCAAACCAATCAGTGGACTAATTCAATAATTACACATCCTTGATCCCAACATCACACCCTTAATCCCAGCATTACACAGTCTAGATCCAGCTACCTCTAAAAAAGCCCACCTGTGACTGCATGAGGCTTTGGGGGACATCTAGACAAAAGCCATGACACCCCCCCAAACCCCACATATACATTTTATGATGCTCCTTAACATATTCTGCCTTGACTTGTGATTCATCAAAGGTATCATCCTTTCTAGTTTTCCAAGAAGTGGGGGACTAGTTCTGTCCAGTTTCTCTAAATGTAAATTCCCCCAAAAGGTCCGTTCTACCAGGCCTGAAAATATCTTCCTAAGTGAGAAATGTGCCTACAAATATTGTGACAATTGTTGCATAGTTTCTTGATGCTCCCATTTACAACTGGAGGGAAAAGTGAAATTGTACCTTGGCTTAAATTTGTTGTCGAATGAAGCTCCTCTCTCCACTTCTCAGTCCCCCTCCTCAGCGGCCTCTTGCTATTAAAAGCACCACTGTCCTCACTGGGACAGCTTTGACCACCAGCTATCTGAAGCACCTTTCACGTTGCTGCGGATCGTGCAGCCCTTCTGTAGTCTTGGTTTACATCTCCATCTTTCACATAACACTCTTAATCAGTCATGCATTCCCACTTTGCCCTCCTTGGGTGCTTCCAAACGATCTCCCCAAATCCCACTCCACCCTTTTACTCCACGCTTAAAAGCCTCCAATATTTCTCCAAAAGGAAATATAGTGGACCTCAAGTTATGACCGGCTTGACCTACAAACAACTTGGGTTAATTAGGTTAATGGCAGACTCATCTGTCCTGTTATGTATAAAGCATACCCAGGCAATCAGCCAGATCTCAGCTGTATTGACTTTGTTACGATCAGTCCTCTGGAACCGATCTAGTTGGTATGTCAAGGGTGCACTATATGTTTTCTCTTTTCCTTTGAGTTTCAAGAAGGAACGGACAAGGTTGAAACCTCAAACAGCAGTGCCAGGTTTCTCGTGGGCATTCAATATGTTGAATGTTGAATGGCTTTGCGCCCAGCCTCCTCATTCAGGCTAATAAAATACCACCTGCTAAGGTTCTCCTCAAACACAGTTTACTCTGCCACTCTGCCACTCTGCCACTCTGCCCCATCTCTTCCAGCCAGGGTCTTTTTCTTCCCTTTTTTTCTCAAGACCTATCAACTTTCTGGATTTTTAACATATGTTTATCTATAATGTTCAGTTTATTTCACTGTACTTTTTGAGGTCTGAATTCTAAGGCAGAACGTGCATCTATTACATATCGGTTATTAGTAATTCAAACAAAGGACAGACAGAATTCTTTCCTCTTTAAACCTAGTTAATGTCAGATGATGGGAATGATGGAAATTCGACTGGGACCAGGGGAAGGTCCTTTAGGTGGTTAGAGCCTCAGCACTTTGGGAGGGAGGAAATAAAAGAAGGACCAGCAGTGAGGCCATTAGCCTAATTTGGAGTTCCTGGGGCAAGAAAGTGAGCGCTAGCACATGGGACTAGAACAAGGGTTGGACAGGGTGACAAAGGCCAAGGACTAATTTCACCTGTTCCAAAACTTTTCCACCGAGCTGTGTTCTCTTCTGGAGTCAGGAGCCATGCTGCATACACAGTATGGGGCAAATCTGGCCCCAGCGTGGCCTCTGTGGGGAAAAAACATGTCTCCATTTTACAGCTTTATCAATACAGGTCAGGCCCCTCTGTTCCTAAGCAGAATGGCATAAAGCACATTTATAGTTAGTTGGATTTGTTTTCTTATTGATAACTGAAAAGATTGCGTTTACTATCTGGCTTAAAAAGATAAGAAGAGAAACTTTTAAGAAAAAAAAAAAGAGTTAATATCAAACAGGTGAAGAACTGAATAATTATGGAGAAAGCCACAAAGAAAATTGGAAGAAAGCTGCTTCAGAGTAAAATTGTGTTAAGAAATTACTTAAATCACACACTTGATGGTGACCAGAGAGCTTATTAACATATTGGGAAGAAGATATAAAGCCTACAGGAGGAGGCAATAAATTTTGCTAGATGCGCAGGTGAAAGGTATTAGGAGGAAAGCTATTGGGAAATCACGCGGTATCTTTTTGGGAAACAGAGTTGGCAAATTGGGTGATTTTTTAAAAGCAGTAGGCTGTTCCGCCAAATCTCCGTGTGTGAGGTGCCTTACTCTGCTTTGAAATTTTCAGCACTGGAATCCTTAGCAGGAAGTCCACAGAGTGAGATGTTCGCGCTTTTCCAAAGTAAGCCCTACTACTGTAACATTTCATCAAGTGCAAAGGGAAAGAACTTACTCGGGGTTCTTGTTTCATTCTCGTATTTACAGTTTGGAAGCATCTGTAGAAAGGAAATCTGTTCTTTTCCTGAGGGGCCT